TTTTAATTAAAAATGATGCTATATTTTAAAAATAGAATGATAATTTTAAATAGTTTTTGATTAAAAACTGTATTACTGATTAGATACAAAGTTATTATTTTGTATAATTCCTGATTAAAGGTTATTCTATTATTTGAATATGAAATTATAATAATTTTTAATTAGTATAAAATTAATTAAAACCATATATTAAATCTTGTAAATGTATAAATTGTGACTATAAAATTTAATAGCATAGTTAATCATTATAAAGGTAAATTAATGAATAAATAGATATGATGAGTTTTTATATATTTGAATTTTGTAGACAAAATCTATTAAATATAAGATTGTAAAAATTATAAATTTTTTACTTTTACTAAAGATTAACTGTTAATTCAATATTTAATAACTAGGTAATTAATAAAAAATCAAATTAATATTATTTTTTAGGTTCTGTTAATTTACCAACACTTACTTCACCAACATGCTATTCCACTAACAATTAATATACTGACAAGTTAATTATTTCACAGATAGTTATTTCAATGACAAATTAATTCTAATCATTGTCAGTTTTAGTGCAATTTTATGAACTGTTAGTAAAATAATTGTCATTAAAATAAACTTGTTAATAAATTGATTGTTGATGAATAGCATGTTGGTTAAGTAAGTGTTAGTAAATGATACAGACCTATTTAAAGTAGATTATATTTTTATTTTAAAACAAATATACTATAAATATATAAATATATTTTTTAATTTTATTAATTTTATTTATTATTCTTTTATTAATTTTATTATCTTTTATTAGGTTTGTTACTTTTTTGTTAGTTTTGTCTTTGACAATTTTGTCACCTTTTGTCACCTTTGTCACTTTTTGTCACCTTTTGTTATTTGTCATTTTAAAAATTTTTTGACAAAAGACAAACCCTAGTTTCAACCTTGTCATTGACAAAACCCTTAGGTTTTGTCTAACAACATTAGTCAAGACAAATTTCAAATATTATAATTTGTTTGGATAATAATATGAAAAACATATAGAAAAGAATTCTATTTGTAAAAGGCATTATTATTAATATAAACCAATTTCTAATGCATGATTTTTTATACAAAATAAAACAGTAATCAAAAAAATGCTAAGTTGTAAATATCCTTTAATACAATTTAGAATAAACATGATTAAAATTATAATTATAGGAACCAAAAGAATATAACTATAAAACAATAAAGCAGCAAATTCTTCTTGATATGTATTAGCAAGTTGAGCCAAAATTGATACAATTAATAGCAGTTAGACCAATAGTTAATATACTTAGAACAAACCATAACATAGGATCATATAAATGCCAAGATCTAGTATATAATATCAAAAAAATATCAATAGTAGATATTATTAAAAAATAGCAAGTCAAAGCATATGCAATAATAGAGACAATATGTTCATTGTGAGAATGGGGAAAGCTATATAGTTGAGTACCAAGAGTTAATAGTGTCAAAGGAATGGTGCAGAGCCAATATACCAATAGCTTGAGAAATAACTATAAAAAAATTCTCTTTATTGAAAAGCTTGTCAACAAAGTGACAGAGCATTCATTATTGCGAATCAGATAACTTTATGTGATCAGATGACTTTATAGATTACATGTTCAATTTATTATTTAACTTCTTATGGATATTTGTGTATAGCTTTATGGTATCTTGTTTGATACAAGTATTTTTTGGTTAGTATAGTTGTTAAAATGTGAATCACTATTACTATAAGAATGGATAAGAAAAACAAGGTGGCATTGATCATATGGTTCTAAATATGTAACCAGTAATGTATTTAAGGTTTTGATTAGTAGAAGAGATTATCTTTCTTTTAGCTATTACTCGCTTTGGAGTTAAGGCTGGCTCTATCGTCCCACCCCTCCAGTCTATTGGTTAGTACTGTTAGGTCTTGTGGCTGCCATTAGCATAATATAGACATTATATTTGGCAAGTAGGCTCCTGCTGTAGGCAGTGCAAAAACCTCGCATTTGGTTTATAGGTTCTGTGGCTGTTGTATACAGTGAAAGTTCCTTGTATTTGATATTTAGGCTCCACGGCTGTTATAGGTAGTGCAAGAATCTTGTGTTTGGTGTTAGGCTTCACAGCTGCAGCATGCAGCACTTGAACCTCACATTTTGGTGACTAGACTCTGCAGCTGTTGTAGGCAATACAAGAACCTGTCTTAGTAATACTTATGACATCAATATTTTCATCAATTATTCTTTTAATAGCTATATGATTCTTTCTCAACTACATTCCTGATATAATATGTTTATATGTAGTCATATATATACAATAGGTTATAGGATTGTTTTGGATGAAAGATTTCTTTAGAGATATAGTCATTTTAGTTTAAGCATATTTGATATAGAGCCTGTAAATCCTGTAAATAATAGCAGACAGATTTCCATATGTTCTTCCTCATCTAAATAAAGTCATCTGATCGAGCAATAATAATGATAAATAAAGTTTTTGAATAAAGAAAGTGTCAAAAATTAAGACTAATAAAGTAGTATATGAAGATATTCTTATAAAAATTTAGTATAAAAAAAATGTTTCATTTAAAAAAATTTTTTTTTTTTTTTTTTTACGGTTTATAGAACAACTTTATTGGTCGATGGTTTCCCTTTATTATTAAATATCTGTAGTCCATATTTGTACAAAAGGGTTTACAGTAACATATCAACAAGGGTACAATAAGCCACACGTACAACTTTAGTTATTGTCTATTTAAGGGTTCTGTCCATAGGTTCTCACTCATTGCCATACCTAAGACCCGCTTGTGAGTCCCCTATTTAAACTTTTTGATTTTCAATGTTATTCTGCTCACGTGATCCTTAATTTAGGTACTTGGTCCAAACTTCAGGCTACTTTACCCGTGAGGTAAATTCTACCAAAGAAGGTAGTTCCCACAGTTACACCTTATCTGGATTTTACTGCACTAGAGGTGATTCCATATTAGGTAAGGCTAATCCTTTTCACAAACATCAGCAATATTCTTCACATTTCTCACTATAGTAGTGCCCAGGCTCTGCTATACCAGTTTCCTTCTAAGAATTTCTTAAACCAAACGTGTACCTTCACTTGAACTTTCACAGGGCTCCACGTTTAATTATAGGCTCCTTTTTAGGTTACAGAGTATTTTACCTCCAGCCAAACTCGAACCATCAACCTTGTCTGTGGAGGGACGGGAGCTTATCCATTAAGCTATAGGACCCGAACCCCTCATTTAAAAAAATTTAAGAACTGATTTAAATAAATTAAATATCTTAAGGAATTTTTACATCATATATATTTCTGCTACAAAATGTCACTTCAAACAATTTTTGAGTAATCTCTCGCGTATTAATAAGTTTGCTTGTATATATGATCTGGGTGTTTGTACTCAGTAATTGAAATACTATTTATTATTTCATCAGCTTTTAGAAACTGGATTTTGATTTCGTTTACTTCAACAGAATTTAATTCATTAATCCAAACTTCAAAAAAACCCTTAATTAATCCAATATTAGGTCTTTTATTAGAATCAGAATCCATATATTGGTTTGCTAATTCAACATAACATTTGGGAGTTTCTGGAGCAACCTCAGGTTACAACCCGTTAAAAATCCTTAATGAGAGATCAATACACCATCAAAAGGTCTTTGTCCTGTTGTTATTTCAGCCATTATAATTCCAAAGCTGTAAATGTCTGCTGCTTGCATAAACGGTTTTTCTTGTAGGACTTCTGGAGCAATATATGGCAAGACCCATAAATTTTACCTTTTTGCTTTTGAAGTTGAATTGAAAGACCCAAGTCCGCAATATACATATTATATAATTTATTACCCCTATTTAATTTTGATCAATATCCTTTGCTATGTGTGTCATGCAGTGTAATAAATTTGCCATATGTGGTCATGCAGTATAAGTACTTTTTACTCTGAATGATTAGTACCTTATCCGTTTTTGTTAGATTGTATTAGATGATTATCAAAACAATTTTCTCACAATCTCTTAAAAGGAAATTTGTATTCAGCTTTTTTTATATATGTTACTATAGCTTCTAGCTTATAGCTTCTAGCTTATAGCTTCTAGCTAGTAGCTTCTAACTAGTGGCTTCTAGCTAGTAGCTTCTAGCCAGTCCTTCTAGACTGACAGTCATTTCATGTCTGTTTTAATATCAAAAAAATGCATGTCTGATGTGACTATACATGTTTTATTATCTGGATTTCTTGCTTTTATTGATTTTTTCTTTTTTTTGTTTCAGATTTTTTATTGGTCTGATTGTTTGATAATCTCGATAGTATTGATGACTTCTCAGCGAAAATAATTGAAAAAAAAACAAGAGAATTGGCGATATTGTTTAGTATTCCTGATTGTGTTATGCATGCTCATGCATGCTCATGCAGTTTTATATGATCTATACACGTATCAATCACTATTGAATTTTATGTATGTACGTACGTTTGTGCATATATGTATGTGTGTTTATTTTATCATTATCAACAAGTACCGGTAATGTGCATATAAGCACGTATGTAACTATGATTTATAATCAAACACTAATTATTTATTAAAGATTATTAAAAAATAAGCATATGATAAAGCAAATAAATTAGCTTAAAAAGTACAGGTATCTATATTCTAATCAAAATCAATTGCTTGAAAAAGTATCTGATTATTTTTTTTTTAGCAATAACTAAAAATGTACCTCTTTGATATATATTGTATTATTACTAGTTGCGGTTGTAATAAATTACACTTCTATTATCCTTTTCTCTATCTTTGCAATGATGCATTGATGTATGGACAAAAAAAAACTTGCAAACTTAAATGATTAATATTACTTAGTATTTGCCACAGATTAATAAAATTTGACATAACAACTGTTCGTTAAGATGTGCGGTAAACATGTGAAGTGATGTTAAAAACTCTTACAATGAATTTCATTATTAGGTACCATTATTATTAAATAAAAAGTAAACAAGTAAACGTATATTGGAAATATGAGTTTTAATCTTGGTTAACACCTGATAACGTGATTAAAAAAAATTATGAACCTATTGAAATAAAGTATATTAAAATAATGACAATTATTCTTATTAAATCCTAGACTACTTTTTAATAACAGCTTTTTTTTTAATTTTTTAATAATTAAAAAAAAAACCAGCTACTTTTTAATTTTCGCTTTTTTTTTTTTTTAAAAAAAAAAAAAAATTAAGCTAACTTTTGGCCTTGCTTTTTTTTTTTAAAAAAAAATACCTTCAACAGTAACAACAGTATGTTATATCACTGATCAACAAGAATCCATCATGAATAAAACTCTCAATGTTGTTAAAGCTGCTAGAATAATACGGCTTCGAAATAATGCCTCGATGTTAAACCTTCTTTTAATAGGCTTTTACTCGCAAAACAAGACTCAAGAATCCGCTTTGGCTTCCTTTTCAACTGAAGATGTACTTTTGGTAACCAGGAAATTGCAGATTATTGAGAATGTAGATGATACTGAAAAAAAATATCCTGTGCTGAAGGTAAACTTTAACATCATTAGAGATGCTACTACAAATATGTATTGCGACTGGTGTGTATAATTCAGACCTAATTTTATTTTCTTATAAGAACATTATACAATGGATTTTGAGACTTTTTGTATTCTTATATTAGTGTGACCTTAAAATTTTATGTTCTTGGAGAACGTTGAGATCATTGAATTTCACACACTTATATTTAATTAAAAAGTCAGAAGTGTTGATTATTATAAAAATGTATCTCAAAACCACAATATAATAAATGTTGTGTTATATATGTAACATTATTTTTGCTATTCGATCGGATAATAGCATAAATTTTGAACTTATAACCTTAAGATCTTGTGTCTTTGTAAAAATTGTGACTGAATATAATAAGACTCAAAGTTTCAATTTCATAACAAGCATCTCTATTTATCATTACATTATACCAAAAAATCTCTTACATTATATTTAGATCATATTATCTGAAGCTGTTTGCCTTGCTATCAATCTACTGGATTTACCAATATTCTCTATCTTGATAAATATAACAGCCGTCACGATAGAACTTTCTCAGATTGAATCTGATAATATTATTCTAACTGTAAAAACAAAGGATTATATGAACCAGGATCATATTATTCAAAAATTAGATTGCTACCACTTGAGATCTGCCCAACACCTTGCTCCAACTTCCTTCTCAGTCAAAATAGGATCTGTTCTCTTCATTAGTGGGGAATTCATAATAATTGATAATAATTGTATCATTCATCTCCTTACTATAAACTTTACCGAATATCAAAAATCAATACCTGATTTTTTCTTTTTTTTTTGATTACGCACTTTATAAATCCTGGTTCTAGTAATATACATAGTCGATGTATTAATATTAAAACATTTGAGCATGATTTTATTCACTTAATTAACCTTTCATTTTATATCTTAATGCTATAATTTCTTTTTTAATTTTTTTTATTCATCAAATCAGGTGTTAATTTAAAAACCCTGGTCAAACTTTCTTGGTTAAATGAAACTCCAGCTAATAAATTGAACACTAAATCTACAATTCTGAATGAACCATCAGCTAATAAATCAAGCGTTATATCTGCATTTCTAAATAAAACTCAAACTGATGAATCAGGTGCTGAAACTATAGTCCAAAATGAGACTATGACTAGTAAATCAGATGTCAAAACTACAGCCCAAACTGAACTTCTAACTGATGAATCAGATGTCAAAACTACACCCTGAACGGTCACAACAAGAGTGAAAACTGATAGAAGAAAGAAAACAATGACTACAACTACAGCCCAAACTGAACCTCTAACCGATGAATTAAGTACTAAAATTACACTCCGAATAGTTGCCACGAGAATGAAAACTGGTAAAAAAAAAGAAAACAACAGCTACAACTACAGCCCAAACTGAAGCTCTAACCAATGAATCGAGTGCTGAAATTACACCTCGAATGGTTGCCACAAGAGTGAAAACTGGTAGAAAAAAGAAAACAGCAGCTACAAAGCCTTACTTTAGAGCAAAAGAACGTCCAAAAGTCACTGATCTTACAAAAGATGCATTGAAACAAAATCAAAACCACAATACCCCTAATTCTTTCATGTCTTAACTTATCCTTAGTTTGAAGTCATTAACAAATGATGTGTGCTTTTTTTTTTAAAAAAAAAAATTGTTAACAGAATTGCTTTTTTTTTCTTTATTTTTAAATTGTTAACAGATTGTGTTTTTTATTTCGATCTTTTAATAAAAATTCAATCTTTTTTTTACTGTTCTGCATACTAATAAATTACTAAAAATAATCTGACGTATATAAATAAATAATAAATACACATGTGATCTTTTATCCTGTTTGTTTTCTCTTTAATAACTGTATTGATTTAGTATAACCCATTATTTATTATTTGTATATTGCAGCTATAATAAAGAAAACAAAACAGTTATAAAAAATTATTGCTTTCAAAACAAGACAACTGATAAAATGATGAAAAAAAA